GAGGTTCTTTTAGACCCTCATATGTACTATAAGCCCTCATATGTACTACTGAGCCTAAGAAAACTATGCAGTAGGATTCAACAAAATAAAGGGCACCTTCCAGTGAAACTCCTTATGTGACCAAGAGCTACCAGCAACACAGTCTTAAAAACAATAGCCTTGTTCAAACAGTATACAAAAGGATGACCAGATGAGCCCTATGATCACTATATACACTGTTAGTTCTACCTCAGAAATCAGCAGATTTCTACCCAGTAACTAAGCCATGCAACCAAGAGTGGGTTCTGGTGCATTAGATCATTATTGACTGGAATAATCCTACATGGAGTATTGAAAAGACTGAATGGCATGGCAACCTAAAGGACCCTGGCCATGAATGGCTGAAAGAATAAACCATGCTTTTTTCAACAGGGCCTACTGGGTCAGTATAGAAAGTAATTGGAAAGGCAGGAAAACCTCAAGCCTAAGCCCTGGCCATCATCCTTAGTTCTAGCTTAAGGAGTTTTGGGACTTCTCTGCTTTCTTCCTAGCAGACAGATTAGTATCAGAAGGCACCTATAAAATGTACTGAGCTTTTCGCAGTTCTGCAATATCAACATTAAATATACTAAACTGCATTAGAGCAATATGCAAAGACAACATTTGTATACAATATTTTTCCCCATGCAGATACAGTAATAAAATTCTACATACTAATCTACATAAGAGTAATACATACCGTCTGACACTCTTGTGTTTACTTGGGAGATCTCAGCCCCCAACATCATACACACACACACACACACACATATCCAAGTCTCTCATGCCATCTGAATATTGGTATGGCAAACTCTCTATACACCCAGCAATGAAATGTACTACTAAGCAGGAAGATGCAGGATAAATTAACATGACTATCACTTTTACAAATGTCAGGTTCCCTGCCCAATTTTTGAAGTCTGACTTAATTTCAGCACCATGGGGGGTATCATGATACTGATGTGAGTTATGTTATGCAGATCACTACTTTAGAAGACTGTCTGAAGTGTAGTAGTAACATACTGAGCATTCACATTAACATTAAAAATACACATACTGACTATTTTAAATATAGTACCATTACTGGCACACCAAGTTGTGTAGGATGATTATAGTGATACCAAATCACGATGCCACATTTACAGGCTGTAATACTGCCAACACAAGAATAAGTGCTGCATTGTAAGTATCACATAATTGCCCTGCCCGCCTCTGCAGCAACCTGAACTGTTACCCCAGTTACATAATCAGTCATGCAAGAGGTTTATACTGTTGTTTGGAACAGGGACACTGCAAAAGAGTATAGTGACCACCTTGTACAAAGGGTCTTGTGGTAATCAACTGTATACTCATGTATTGTTGCTATTAATATAAACAAGTCCTCCATTGTAGTAAAACATGCATAAATATAATAACATGATGGTGACAACTCATACGTTGCTTCATGTGTTGTGTGTTACCTAGGTTAATTTTTTTTGACCATTTCTCAAATGGTAGATGGAACCATGACCTATAACCCAACCAGTTTCAGGCACAGGGAGTGTGATGGCTAATGCACCAATGTGGGTGGACTTGGCTCAGTATTACGATCCTTTGCAGTATTATGATACTCAATAGCAGAACTCCTGAGCCATCCATGTACATAGCCAAGGACAAATACAACCTGTGTATATAATCAAAAAGATACAGTACATGTATAAGGAATAGACTATAATGCCATGCATGTAAAATAATACACAAAATTCAAGTATCCTGTATAATACATGAATATTGTTGCATTGTATTTATTCCAAAAATGCAACATTGCCTGCAACAAGGTCTATTTCATAAAGGAAACTATTGAGCATAAGACATATATATAAATAAGAGGCACTGAATTTTATATACAAAGTCTGAGCTGCAACATAAACATACCCCAGTAAGGACATAGCAGTCAGAGCTGTTAATAATAAACCATTTATTCCCTATGTAAGCATACTGTATACATAGTGACAGCCAATCAGTGCTAAAGTGTATGTTACTCCAACATTTCATGTTCCTGATATGTGTATGTTGTACCATGTACTTGTGTTCAAAAGTATTCTGTAATCATTATATTGCTTCCTTTGTGTGAAATACCAGGTGATCCTGCCAGGCCCCCTGCTTTTCTATCTCAAGCTGACCAAGCTAGGCATAGAAGCAACTCCATTTCAGCATGGTCAGTTTTCTGGCTGTGCTGGAAAAACAGCCTGCCTGTCCTCCAATAGTCAGACTTGTGCTGAAAAGCACCCCTACACAACATTTGCATTTCTATTTTAAGCTTAGTTAATTGGTTAAACTTAAATTTGTTGTTTTTGCAAGATGAGGGTTCACATATACTTTAAGGTGTATTCATATAAGAACCCCCCCCACACACACACACACACACACACACACACACCAATTTATGGAACCACTTATGCAAATTAGGACTATGCCACAAATAATACCATTAGAAATATCAGAGATAACGAGTAAAAGATAATGAATTTCCTACATGAGCCATGATCCACAGCAAAGAGAAAACCTCCTCAGGTGTATGCACTCTCACTCTTGAATCACTCCTCTTAGACAGTAGCAAAAGCCAGTTCTCACTTGAACAGATAGAGCTCACAAGGAAAACTGTGATAGTGCAATAGTTTAAATAAAGAAGAGCCAGTCATACAGTTAAATCAATGCAACGGTGAAAAAGCACTAAAACCCACTTAGAGAGCCACTGGTGACCTACAATCATGCAGTGGTGTGATGTCAGCACCGAGACATTCTCCTGACTAGGTTTGTCCAAACAGATATTCTCAAGGAGTCCTCTAGTGTTTGACATCAGCCATCATTTTGTAGTCCACTTTAACCCACCTACAAGAGGTGACAGGCTGCTCAGCCATGTTGCCATAGGGCTGAATCACCATAGAGAGATCACAAATATTCAAATCAGATGATAAAATGCTAGTAGTAGTAGGATCTTGGTCAGGAAGCAAGCCTTGGTCAGCAGCAATTAGACAGATGAGCCAAGGTAAGACTCAAGCTGGGTCACAACAGGAGGTTAGAGCAGAGGAGAATCCAGAGACAAGCCAGGTCAGCAATGAAAGATAAAAAAAAAAATCAGATTCAGGGCATAGGGACCAGCTGAAGGACATTCAGCAACCTCCTGTTTCAGCACTCTTCTTCAAATAGGCCAGTTGGTGCCAAGTCTGGAATCAAACACGTGCGCCGGTGCATATGCATGCACAGATGCTCATGCATCATGTTTGCATGTATTCTTTTGCAAACTAGCTTGTCTTTGTAACCTGCTGGCAAAGATTCTTTTTCTGCATATTCACATTCACATGCACATCATCTTCTGAAGCCATCCTGACATATGCACTTTGAAGCAAGCTTGATGTGCTGACAAAATATTACATTCATGAAGATGGAATGTTACAGTTTAGCATTACAAATATTAGGCCTGTATGAACATACTGCAATTTCTGAATGACTGAGCAGGAATATTGAATCTGGAAAGAAAAAATTAGTTTCTTGGTTTGGTTCAGAGACTAAAGAAGAAAAAATGCTTATGTTTAGTAGCATAGCTATTACACCTTTTGGGCAGGCTGCAGTTCCCTAGGAATTGAGCAGGTATATTGCACCAGGAAAGAATAATATTTTAAAAAAATTTAGTTTTTTTTTTCATCTAAAATAGAAACATGCACATATTTGCCACACACATTTGAAGTCTTTATAGTATAAGGCTATAGTTTCAGAGGGAGAGAGGAAGCAAGTTGTATTTAGAATTAAATAAATAAAGGTAAAGATGACCGAAGGTTCCAGATTTGCAACACACATATTAAGCCTATATGGTCAGGCTGCAAACTCTGAGTCATCTGGAAAATAAAAAGAATGTGCCTTTTTGTGTTACATTGAAAATTAAAAAAAAAAAGAAAAAATTTGAACCACACCTTTGAAGCCACAGTTACTGAGAAAGAAAGTAAGCTAATTGCATCTGGAAGTAAAATTTAGTGTCTTGTTTCCAAGACTGAAGGTTAAAGATTTGCATTACAGATATCAATCCTATATGGGCAGACTGCAAATTCTGAGTGATTGAGTGCGAACATTCCACCTGGAACAAACGTAGGTTCTGTTTTCTGTACCATTGAAAATCTAAACATTGAACACTGCACATTATAAGCTTTGAATAGGCTGTAGTTTATGAGGGAGAGAGTAAGCAGTTTGCAACTAAAAAATCTGTCTGCCTTTTTCACAGAATGAATTAAGAAACAAATAACAACTTTGCTGCTTTTTAGCAAGAACATTTTTTCAGCAAGTGAGAGCAAGTAGATTTCAACTAAACATAAGAATGTATCAAGAATTAATAATTGCACTACATGTTAGCAGAATGGTGATACAGCTTGTAAGCCTGTTTGGACATACTACTTATATGTTGACCATACAGCAAGGAGGAGAGAGCAGAAAAGCTTTTTAAACCCTTTTGGGCAGGCTGATAGTGTTGCAGTAGAGAGTAAGCAGATTACATGTGGAATAAAATAACATATTCTACTTTATTTGAAATGTAAAGCAAAAAATGTAAGTGATTTCAAGCTCACCTTTTAAGTTTATTTGGATAGACTGTTTTTTCTGGGGGAGATATCACGCAGATTTCAGCAAAAGATAAATTAGATGGGAATATTTGCTTAGATATGTATATTGTACAGATTTCCTACAGATAATCTCTTCTATATTGAATGGAGAATAATTCAACCAGAAATATTAGCTGAAACTGTATTGGAGGCAGAAGGTACATTTGGAGGCAGAGTCAGCTTCTTTCAGTAAGAAATATAAGTAACAAGTACTGTATTTTTCACTCCATAAGACACACTTTTTCCCCCAAGAAAAATGGGGTAAAATGTCTGTGCGTCTTATAGAGCGAGTATTGAGTGGCAGGCTAGGTATTCCCGCAGCCGCCGTGTTATAATACAGGGCTGGTCGCTCTGCTCTTCTGTGCAGCAGAACCTGCTCCTTGGTCCTACCTGTTCCTTGGTCCAGTGGTGTCCTCACCATCTTCTCTCCGTGGTGCCGGCATCTTTAGTGTGGGCACCCAGTGCGCATGCGCGAGAAGCGCTGCACTTTGTGAATGGTCCAGCAGTCTTCTGGGGAGGGAGGACAACTCTGCGGAAGTGGGAGCAGGTACCTGTCAAATTTGGTTACCTGCTCCCCAAAGGTCTTCAGTCTCTGGTCATCTCCTGTGCTATGTCCGCAGTCACTGGTCATCCCCTGTACTATGTCCGCAGTGTCTGGTCATCTCCTGTACTATGTCCACAGTCTCTGGTCATCTCCTGTACTATGTCTGCAGTCTCTGGTCATCTCCTGTACTATGTTCACAGTCTCTGGTCATCCCCTGTACTATGTCTGCAGTTTCTGGTCATCTCCTGTACTATGTCCGCAGTCTCTGGTCATCTCCTGTACTATGTTTGCAGTCTATGGTCATCACTTGTACTATGTCCGCAGTCTCTGGTCATCTCCTTTACTATGTCTGCAGTCCATTGGTTCAGAATATTTTTTTTTTTCTTGTTTTCCTCTTCTAAAACCTAGGTGCATCTTATGGTCAGGTGTGTCTTATGGAGTGAAAAATATATTTACTAAAAAATCACCATATTAAAATCGTATTGACAAGCTAAAAATAATTCCATCTGTTTTAATCTTTGAGATGGGGAACACCAGCTCCCCCTTACCTATCCTCATGATATACTCACACATGTACTTATTTGTGGTCTACTGATGCATTTTCATCCACTGCAGCATGGCCAAAGTAAAGTTCCATAGGGTGGACATGTCACATATCAGGTACTTTGTGGTAGATGGAGTTCACACTGAATTTCACCCAGCCACAAACTGGCTATGGATAACAACCTGAAAGAGTTGAAAACTCTTCAGGCCTTTCTCAATGAGGTGGAAACATTACCTTACACATGGTGGTTGTGAGTAAGGTTGTCCTTACAGAAGGAGAAATGGCAGCTAGGGACCAGACACTGTGCACTGGTTTAAAATTCACAAAAGATGGCTGAATACATCGGATGGAAAGGCAAGAGCTGTAAAGTCTGAAATTTTGCCAAGCAGGCATTCAGCCACAGAATATCGTGATGGTTGGGGTTATACTTCCTCTTCTGTTCCAGCAGCTTCAGCAAATAAACTTGCCTACTGAATGCCATTGCTGGAAATGGAAGAGAAGGGTTGGCTGAATCAGAGCAAGGTTTCAGCCAGAGAAGGGTAAGTATCTTCATAGAGCGTATGTAAACCATATGTACGTCTGTTTCTCTATAGTTGGCAGGCTTTAGGATTAGGCTCTTAAGAGGCTCATCCACAAACTGTGAAAGTGGTGGAACTGTATTATTGATAACATAAGAATTCTAACACTGTTCTATACCATATCCAATAATGGCACAATACATACGGACCATGGCTGTTATACCTTGTGAATTGATATAATCACACAAATAGCTTGCCAGAAGAAGGCAGGGCTATAATGGGAGACACTATATCTACAGACATTATACCTCCATTATACCTCCATTGGTTTATGCCTACAGGACTATGTCATAATGGTCTATGGAGTTTATTCCTTTCACTATGCACATCAGTTTTGATCTTGCTTCCTACTAATCTTTCTGTATTGAACTGTATTGTAACTGTACTGTCTCCCTTTATTTTGCAAAGCACACAAACTGTTGGTCTGTTGGTATATGAAGCCAGTATAATAATAATAAAAGATAATCTTGCAATAATTATACAGTGTGGTCAGTATTTTTAATGACTACATACATTATGCCTTTCTCAAACGTCAGTTTATATGGGGCGCTAATAAAATATTATCTACCTGTCTCCCTTTGTACAGCAATTTCTATTTTGAGATAATGGACCTATACAAATTTACTGCAGAGACACATCAACTTTTACAATTGAAGACAGTTACAGCCATAGACTGGAGTGTTGGAGTGTTGATATAAGCCAGACTTTGTTTCTATTTATACATTGGAAGAGCATCTCAAATATATGAAGATACTGACTTTTCTCAGGATTCTTCTTCACATCATACCAGTGGGGAACTACCAGGGTCGCAGAAGTCACACTTGCAACCGGGCCCTGGAGTTCCCCCACTGTGGCGGAATGTTACAAACCACCCATTACTTTAGGGACAGTTTGAAAAAAAACAGCCTGATTTCTTCTGTCCGTAAGACAGGAGAATCTGACTGTAAATTAGGTACCAATGGCTGCAGCTGAGTCAAGTGTGTGACACTCTCCCAGCCCAGCGAGAACATTCCCCCCTCCCCTCATGAACGGGAGAGGAGAGAGGAATATAGCAGCTCCTCCTCCTGCCCCTGTTCCTCCTCTGTCTGCCCGCCCTGCCTATCCCAATGTGCAGCTGTGCCTTAGAGAGAGGGGATGTGTGGGCGAGAAATATGAAAGCCAGCAGCTACAGATTCCTGGCTGTACAACTGAAGCCGCTGCCTGAGCCACCAAATATCAGTCTCAGCTTGGGTGAGTGAACACTGAAAACTGTCTGCAGCACACTGTGATCTCTGAACTGTCTCCATCTCCCTTCCTTCTCTCCCCATCTGTCTCCCCCCTCTATGTTCTTCAAAGAGCTTCACCAACTTGCTCAGTTCCACATTGCACTTAGGCAGTTCATACATTGATCACCCGGTGGGGGGCTTAACTGTCTACAACCAATACAGTAGTGCCAGCCCTCCTGCACATGCACCCATCAGCCTCATAATGTAAACAGCACTGGGTCCTAATGCGCTGCTGCAGCTGCCATGCATACAGAAACTCTGGACCAGGACTGTCAAAAGCAGGGTCAGGACAGCAAGAGAAGACTGGGAACCCCCAAGGTGGCGGAATGCCAGGACCTGTTCGCAAGTGAGGCCTTTATGACCCTGGTAGTTTTGCCACTGTGTTGGACACATATATGGAGTTCCCTGGTTTGATGGTTACATATCTCTTGCTGTCTGCCACCATTATTATTATTATTATTATACAGTATTTATAAAGCGCCAATAGTTCGCTCAGCGCTGTACATTACAAAGGGGGACAGAACATGTGACAGAACAATACCAATACAATGTGATACACGAGGGGTTCGAGGGCCCTGCTCTTTCGAGCTTACAATCTAGGAGGGAGGGGGAGGTGGCACAGGAGGAGATAGCTGTGGGGGATGGGGTGGTAGGAAGAGTGGAGGAGGTCGGCAAGTTAGCAGGGGGTGGGGTAGGCTTCCCTGAAGAGATGGGTTTTCAGGGTGTACCTAAAGGAGAGAAGAGTAGGTGATAATCTGATGGGTTGGGGCAGGGAGTTCCAGAGGATGGGTGACACCCTGGAGAAGTCCTGGAGGCGGGCATGGGAGGAGGAGACCAGGGAACTAGAAAGGAGGTCTTGTGAGGAGCGGAGTGTGCGTGCTGGGCGGTACTTGGATATTAGGTCAGTGATGTAGTTCGGGGCAGTATGGTGGACAGCTTTGTACGTCAGTGTTAGGATTTTGAATTTGATCCGTTGCGCAATCGGAAGCCAGTGGAGGGATTGGCAGAGGGGGGTGGCGGAGACAGAGCGGTTAGAAAGGTGAATGAGTCTGGCAGCCGTATTCAGGATGGACTGAAGCGGGGATAGCCAGCGGCGAGGCAGGCCAGTGGGAGGGAGTGGGAGGGAGTTGCAGTAGTCGAGTCGTGATATGATGAGAGAGTGGATGAGCTGTTTAGTGGTTTCTGGGGTTAGGAACATGCGGATTTTGGCGATGTTGCAGAGGTGGAGTCTGCACGAGAGGCCCAAGACAGTTGAAAGGGGGCCTGCTCCAGAACATGTGAAACGATCCCGCTGTGGGACTCTAATAAAGGGCCCCATGACAGGATAAAGCACCCTAGGATCAGTGGGAAGAGCCATGGGACCAGAAGTAAGGGCCCGGGGACTGACGGGAGGGGGGCCCTTCATGGTTTCTTGCACCAGGACCATAGAGGTTCTATATACGCCTCTGCACCATACTATATGGCATAGTTACCAACCATTCCAGACTTACCAGGACAGTCACACTCTTTAGTGGGTTGTCCCATGAAGTCTGTGTTCTGAGCTGTGTCTCCAGATCAGGGCTGCAGGGACTCAGGTGTCCATGCATAGTGCCAATGGCAGAACTCAGGAAGCCATCAATAGCACTTTTCATACAGCTAGGGAAAACAGTCTGCACTTTGGACTCAAACCCCACCTTAGCCTCTAGCAGCCATTGGCTCACCATAGCACACATAGGAGATGAAGGAGCTTGCACATTCTTTTGGAAGACCTGAAATCTGCAGCTTGGTAAATGTCTTCCCCACATTGACATTGTTCCTCTATCCATATAAGGCAGTTCACTAACATGCTTCTTCCCTGTAAGCCAGTGTCTGGAATAATTTTTATTACTGTGTATAATACATTCAGTATGGGTGAATTCATGTGGAATAATTTAAGGGCAGCACCCAGGCATGGGACACTGCTCAAATTTCCTGAACCTATGCATCTTTTTTGTCATAAAGCTGAGATTAAATACAAGGTTCGGAAATAGAACTTTTCACTGCTGAATATGTAACAAAGCAAAGCATTCATACAAAAAGTAAAATATATATATCTACATTTTACTTTGCTGATTCTCTTTAGTGGGCAATACCACTTTTAATTTGGCAGTGGAAGGAGCAGCAATTTCGGCATGTCCCTTATTCCTGGATGATCCTTTTGCTGTATACTAGTTACTACTGTCTAGACCTGAGCAAGAATCAATGCAGCAGGTATATCATATGCACAGTTGAGCATTAGTAATTAATATTTATGTATATTGTGTTTTCCACTGCTTTACTGTGCAGAATGATTGTTCACATACAGTAGTTAATGTACGCCTTCCTAATTTAAAATATAGAGATCAATGTTTACATTTTTACTATGATTACCAGTGTTTTTGTTGTTTTTGTTTACTTTTTTTTTTACCATTTTTTTTATCCCCTTAACTGGGTGGTAACATCACAGTCTCCTCCTCATCCAATCAGAGAATACCTTGCATTCATTGAGAAAAATGCAAGACATTCTATGAATGGTGCCTGTACTGAGCGAGCAACCCTGTGTTCACTATGCAGCAGGACAGTTACTCGGCATGGAGCCTGAAAGCTACCTGTACCTACTACATTGATTTCCAGCTTCCACAGGAATGGGCCAGGTATGGCACATGCATACTTACTTTGTTGCAAGAAAAAAAGCCATACCTAGACTTCAGCTTTAAGTAAAATGGTAGTCTATTCATTATTTCCAGCCTAACTGTAAATATGTTTTAAAAATATACTAATAGTATGCAAGAAATGAATTGGTAATGTGAGATGGTGATAAGTAATAATGTGAAAAAAAATGTAGAAAATATTTTACTTAATGGATTATAGGGTTGGCTGCCAGCAACATTTCAGTAAAACAAGGCTTTCAAACTGTCCTTTTAACATAGTTTCCACTCATATGAATGCAGCAATATACTACTTTACATACAGATCTACAGATTTAGAAAAGGCAAAAAGCAAGAGCTAGTAAACTATTTATGGAAGTGTATGTATTTGG